AAAAAGTATCTAACAGTGGGCAATATCCAGACGAGTCAGCTTCTGTGGGTACCGCCCCGGTAGCTAAGGTACCGGAGGTTGGCGCCTGACGTACCCCGTACGGTCTGACTCAGTGTGTCAGAGCTCTAGTGATAATCAACCGTCCGATCGATGACTGGGCAAGCTTGGGCCGTTCGATGTCCGAGCGTGGTCAAAGGTTCACATTGCACAATGTTGACACTGCATTGTTGTCTAGTAATTATCTGGTACTCAGGTTCCAAGTTCGGCCTGCATTATGATTATTTAGCTCCTGATCAGACTACAGAGCTGACATGCATGAGGGCCAGGCGCAACTGGCCCCGGCTTTTCCTGAGTCAACCAAGCGAGGCCACCTAGCTTGGCAGCAAGAAGAAGTGACCATTGACAATGGCATTGTTGGCACGAGTTGTTGAAATGCCCCACGATCGTCGACGAGCAGGGATGGGAAACTTTTTGTGAATTATGCTTTCTGCGCTGCTGGACAGCTCAACTGCCAAGTTCCAGAAGTCCTAACCAACCGAGCTGCACAGAAACTTGCCAGGCGCGCCAACCTAGATGCGCTTTTTCCGACAGTCAGGTCCCCTCGAGCCCGCGCCTGCTTGCTGTCAACGAAAGAGCAATCTTCCCGCGTGATGCCGTAATCAGCCAACACAGCGCCCCATTTTACCAGTTGAGTACTTGTCCTCTTGTATAAAAACCCTGAGGGCGCAGAGAAAGCACGTGGATCTTGCTTTCGTCTTCAAGAGCCCAGCTCATGTCGTGCAGGAACAATTTCCAATTGCCATAAACCAAAGCGCATCATGCAGTCAGTCCCGCTGCAAACCTCCCACTTCCTTGGCCAGCAACGTCTGGTGCGCACTGCAAGCCTTTTGCGCTCATCCGGCGGGCCTGGTCAATCTGCCGGGGGCCATCTCGCTGGTGTGGGGATCAATGCAGCTGCCACCGCAGGCCGTGCTCGCGTCAGCATGAGCTCAGCGGTGGAGAAGGTTGACGTGGCCATCATTGGCGGGGGCCCCGGCGGCCTCGCCACGGCCAAGGGGATCACCCGGGCGTGCCCGGAGCTGAAAGTGCGCGTGTTTGAACGGGCCAAGCTGCGGCCGAGGGGCGCGTCGGTATTCGTGATGCCGAATGGGATGCACGCTTTGGAGGTGAGCCCTCGATGCATCTGTTACCAGCTCAACTGATCGGTTGGAGGTTTCTGGTTTGAGTCATGCTGGGTCACAGGTCCTTAATTTAAGGAATGCTTGACCAAAGTCTTACTGACCTTGGTTATCAAGAAACCCTGCCCCACTAGATACGTTTGACCTTCCTCCTTCTTTGATTCCTCTCTTGTCTCAGAGGGACATTTCTGGTTTGCAGCCGTATTTCTTCTCAGTGCGCACTTTTATGAGCTCAAGTCCTTCAACGCACGAGATCAGCCTGCGCCTCCATGTGTGCTAGGAGTGAGAACCATAGTGTTGTTGACTGGCTTCATTGGGTTACAATGATGCAAGTGGTTCTTCGGAGCAAGGGCGTTCCTGCTGCATCCAATCAAGTGACGCGAGCTGCAAACCCTGGCGGATAAGACAGACAGCCCAAAACCCCTGCGTTCACCAAGGTTCCTCTCAATAAAGCTTCCCATGATTCACAGCTTTTCATTGGATCGGCACCTGCTTCTGCGTTTGGACCGCTGCTTTTCATGCAGCCTAGTTGTTACAGACGCCGACTGAATGATTCACAATCTTTGCGCCCGGACCGCCACTTTTCACTCAGCCTGGCTGCTACGGCTGCTGACTGAAATTCATGGTGTTAATACCTTCAGGCCCTCGATCCCGAGACCCACGCAAGAGTCTTGGCGCATCACTCGCCGGCAGGTGCGACAGTCACGCGCAATATGGCCGGGGAGGTCATAGGCGAAGCGGGGGGCGACTCAGTGGCGGCGCCGTTTGCTTCGTATGGTCCGTGCGCGTACCTGCTGTGGGCGTCGCTGCAAAAGGCCCTGGCAGGTACGTACCCTCTTTGCCTTTGAAAGTACGAGGCATCTTTCATTGTTGTGCGCACCCTCCAGGGCCAAGCGGGAGAACAAAGAAATGAGCGAAGTGGATATAACAAGCAGATCAGCGAGCAACAACCTGAAAAATGAACGCAAGAACGTGGTCAAATTTCAGAAGCAAAGACTGCGTGTTACCTGAGTTGGCACACTCCTGGAGCACCCAAGCCGGGTCGATCAACAATGGTTTCAACTAAGAGTGTCCAAGAGTAGGATTCGCTGCTGTCTTTAGAGGCTGACCAAAGTTTTAGTCCTGGCAACCCCGGTTATGTCCTGGAAAGCAGCAATCGGACTTGGTCAGTGTCTCCTAGCCCAGTTGCCTAACCCCGTTTTTTGGGTTGGATCTGGACCGTTGGGATGTTCAGTTGCCTAGAACGAGTGGAGCCTTCACCGCGGTGCCTGATTGATCCAACACCCGATGGCCCCCATCACTGCGCGATGAAAAAGCTCTTCTCTTTTCAAAGGATGAGAGTGACCCGCCTCTGGACCATTCCCCCAGACTCTCTGCCGGAGGGGGTCCTCGAAACGGAGGTGCGTCTGGGGGACTCGCCCCCCCGGGACGAAGGGGACCATGTCAGACTGCAAATAGTCTCTGCTGGTAGGAGACCGGACGGAGCGGCGGCGAAGGAGATCGAGGCGCGGGTTAGTATCCAAATCATTGTCCTGATATTCCAAATGCCAGACTCCAAACTCCATGGGCACAATTCCTGACTACAAACCGCAAACTCTTAATAGCTAACTCCAATTTTCAAATGGCAAACTACTTCAACTCCAAACGGCGAATTGCCTGCTGCTCGTGGTAGTTGAACGACTGCGAAGCAGTGGTTTACCAGATTCTGCCTAGTTCCTTCTACGGGGAGAGCGCACAACCCGGTGTCAGATTTCGAGCCCTTGCTTGGCAGAGCGCCAATCATAATGAGTATGAGAGTCGAATCACCTCACCGTCGCCTTTTAGATTGGTCGCCGGACCAGATACGTACCTCTGACTATCTTTGTCAACCCCGCCGCTCTTCTGCTGCACCCGGCCATACCAGGAGCTCATGCTGTTCGACCGGGATGGAATGAAACCGTCAGCAGCTGGCACAACGGTGGAGATACGGGAGACGTTTACGGGAAAACGCCAGCTGTCTTGTCCCGGGCACTCTTACTGAGTGGCGGTCCCACTTGTCTTTGCCGCAGGTTGTGGTCGGGGCGGATGGCAACCAGTCGCAGCTGCGGCAGCACATTTTGGGCGACGGCCCGTCCAGTTCCATGGGCGTCGGGCTGTTCCGGGCACTTCTCCCGAGGCCCGAGAAGTGGATCGCACCAAACTCAGCCACTATCTGGGCAGGCAAGTAAACCGGGCGCTTTTTGGGCAGGCGAGTAACTGAAAGAGTTTCGGAGCCACCGTTGAGGGTCAAACACAATCCTCGTAAGTTTTTCAGGATATGAGAGAGAGCGTCGGACAGTTCCGGGCACTTATCCGAAGGCCCGAGAAGTAGATCGCGCCGATTTCAACCACCGTCGGGGGACTTTTGCCTGCCCAGGTGGTGTTTAGGCCCTCAGCCACTACCTATGCAGGCAAGTAAACTCAGCCCCTTTTTGGGCAGGCAAGGAAATGGCCATGAATGTTTTTGGTCCACGGCTGAGGGTCTAGACACAACAACCCTACGTTATTATGGATATGAGACAGCTCCTCCGGTCACTTCTCCCGAGGCCCGAAAAGTGGATCGCACCGAATTCAGCCACTATCTGGGCAGGCAAGTAACTCGACTACTTTCTTTTGGGTCGGCAAGCGCATGGCCGGGGAGCAATCGTCCCACCATCCATCAGGGCCTAAACACAATTCTCGTGCGTCGATAAGGATATGGCGTTCGACGAGATTTCGTTTAGACGGGTTGCTGGGCCGTTCGGGGCACTTCTTCCGACGGCCGAGATATTGATCGCACCCAACTCAGCCACTATCTGGGCAGGCAAGTAAAGTCGGCCACTTTTGGGCAGGCAAGCGACTGGCTAAGTAGAATTGTGGTCCTACCGGTGAGAGGGTCGAAACACAGCAATGTACGCTGTTTATGAGGATATGAGACAGAGCGTTGGGCTGTTCCGCGCACTTCTCCCCAGCTCTGAGACGAGAATCGCACCGAACTTAGCCACCATCAGGGCAGGCAAGTAACCCAGCCACTAAGTATGAAGGCAAGTAAAGTCATCCACTTTCTGGGAAGGCAACTTGTAAAGTCAGCCACTTTTGTGCAGGCAGGTACAATTAGCTACTATTTGGGCAGGCAAGAAAACATGGCCACTTTTGGGCAGGCAAGTGAATGGCCGGGAGCGTCTGATTCCGCCGCTTAGGGCCTGAATGGTTTTCTCATACATTGGTGAGGGTGCGATCCTCGACCAAAGTCGTTTACACAGAGCGTCCGGCCGTTCCGGGCACTTCTCCCAGGGCCCAAAAATAACAAACGCCCCGGATTCAGCCACTATCTGAGATCAAGACAAGTGTATGGCCTAGGAGTATTTCAAGGTCCCACCGTTGAGGGCTTGGTAATACTGCTCGTACGTTAGTGAAGATGTACCGCTCGACCAGACTTCTTCAGCGCAAAACCTTGGCTATTATGAGCTCATCATCACAGGAAGCGTTTCCCTTCAACCACGATTGGTTGAAGAACATCGAACCAGACATGAACCACGGTTGCTTGGTAGCAAGGCAGTTGACCAACCACAAACCAAGCTTGATTGACGCTGATCTCGTCCTGTGTCGCGCCCGTACAGGCCCTAAGCAGGCTTTCCGTACGGCCGTCTTTCAAGGAGACGTCGCCACGTGGACGGGGATCGTGCCGTGGCCGGCAGAGGAGGAGCACCTGCTACAGGGGCGGGCGTACATCGCAGGTGAGGGCGAACTAGGATGCCGACAAACTAGGATGGCGTTTGGCTACGGGCCTCTTTTCGTGCGGATTCAGGGGCTTTCTTTTCGAGGAATTCTTTATACGTACTCTGGTACATCCCATGTCACTTCAGAGGCAATTGGATCAAGAGAGGCGTCCGAGAGACAAGGTGGGGTTAGCAGGGCGGTTAGATTAGGTTCGTGTGCGGAGCGCGAAAACTCCGGGTATGGGGATTCTCGTTAAGTGCCCGGGAAACGCCAACCCTAATTTTACCGTTAGTGAAACCCGCTCCAAACGGTTTCGAAGCACTTTCCCAACCGGGGTCTGACCCGGGCCCCTCTTCCATTACCACAGCAAACGACGCCGGCGAGGGCACACGGTCTGCGCCGAAGGAGCGCTGCCTCCGGGCGTTCGAAACCGCCTCGGACGCCCTCTTTTTGTTTGCCTTCTTTCTTGTCCCGCTAGGTATAATTGCGGTCCATTTTCCGGTCTTCGAAACACTTTCTTAACCCTTTTCCATCTTCCTTAACCGCAGCAAACGACGCTGGCGAGGGCGCGCGGTTCTCGCCAAAAGAGCGCTGCCTCCGGGCGTTCGAGCACTGGCCGGACGCCGTCCGCGGAATCATCGCGGCCACGGACGCGGACTCGATCCTGGTCCACGGACAGAATTACAGGTGCGGTTTTCATCAAGCGAGAGCCTCAGACGTACTCGAGACCCCTTGTTTTGGGTGTACTTCTTTTCTTGAAGTGCTGGGACCGAAGTCACCTAATTGCGCTGCGCCGATGCGTGGATTTGGGCGGTGATGGAATGTAGCGTTCCCTGAAAGGAGGCCGGACAAAAACAACGTCGCAATGCTATAATTGAAGACGAAACTGGAAGAATTTGAACAAAATCAACGAAGACAAGAAGTATTCAAATAGAGCGGGCGAATGATACAGTCATTACGAATCTTCTTTTAATAGAACCTATTTCTTTAGTGGGAGGTGCCGTCGAAAAGCTGTGAAGCGACTGCCGCTGCGAATTGCGTGGAGAGGGGGAATATCGAGCGCTAAAACATCGAATTCAAAAAACCTTGAAAGAAGATAATAATACGGTAACTGCATTGGGAAGAGTCAGATTAGGGTGGGGGTTAGGGTGGGGTGGGGTGCGGAGTAGGTTCTTACTTCGCTTCGTTTTTCCGTGTTAGTGCCCAGGATTTTCTTACTATCTCTGTCTCTTGAGTTTCATTCTAACACCGGCCTGTCCCTAGCACTCCAGCTTACGTCAGCTCGAACACGGTCTTTGGCCCCGACGACCGTCTCGAAATCAAGGCACGGCTTCCCGCGCTGAGCAAACAGTTTCGAAATTCTCCCAGTTTGAAAACGGGTTGAATCGTTGCAGGGACCCGGACCGGTGCACCGTTTGGGGCCGCGGGAGGGCGACCCTCGTGGGCGACGCAGCGCACTTGGGGACGCCCCTTTTGGGCCAGGGGACCAGCCAGGCGTTGGAGGACGCCCTTGAGCTCAGTAGGTGAGGAACGCAAAGCGCAAACGCGCCCGAAGGTGCGGCTACTGCGGCAGATTGGTTGTAAATGTAACAGTAGGTCTCAATCCTGAAACCGGCAGAAAGTAGGTTTGGTCTGGCAGATTCTTTGTAAGCTACGTAAAAGTAGTGCACAATCGGGCAGAGTCCACGTTGAAGAAGTAGCTAGAAGCAATTCTGCTCTGAAGTTTGGCAGATTCTTGGAGATGACGGAGTGGATTCGAGTGTAGATTCCTTGTAGCGGTGGGATCTTGCGAATAACCCTTCGAACAAGCATGCTGCTCTGAATCATGCCGTGTAAGGGTTTCGAATTGTCTCGATCAGGAATGAGTCACGGCTGTGTTGAGTTCCAGATCGCTGCCCAGGGGACACGTGGGGTGGGTTTGGAGGTTTAGGAATTATATGGGCGCGTCGAGGTGGAGCATGTTCACTTCTGGTTCGGGTTCCATTCCAGTGAAGACCGGGGATTCCGAGATCGGTCAACATGACAGGCCTAACTCAACGTTAATCTGAGACCTGTAGTGTTTCGGCAAGGCCCGACAACTCTGTCGGACGTGCAATCGCACCAGAGCCGGCCGTCCGTTCCGCCCAGGTGCATCCACGCCCACGGTGCGACTTCCAGCGCGCTGCGCGCCTACGAGCGCGCGCGGCAGCCGCTCGCGCAGCCGATCCAGGCCATCAGCGTGGACCTCTTCAAGCGCTTCCAAGCGGGGGAGAGCTTCCCCCCCGACAACGAGGCGCGGCTCAGCATTGAGCACGGCTTCGTCGCGCGCTCGTTTCGCCCTCTTCCGGTGGCTTGACAGCGGCGTTCCGCCCAGCGGCGCGTTCCGCCCTCTGCCTATGGCTTGACAGCGGAGCGTTCCGGCCTCCGCCCTGGCTTGTACATACTAGAAAAGGGTGTCGAACGGCATTCGATCAACTTGCATTAGGAGACGAGTGCGCTTTTCAGATGGACATTGAAGTCGAAAACTGATTGGAAGTTCGGGTAGGCGTTGAAGTCAAAAAGGCATTCGCAAATGATTGGGTTTCGAAGTGTGCATTAAAGTCAAAAGGCGTGTGAAGACAATGGTAATAGTTTTGCAGGGTTGCGTTACTGTCAAAGATTTTTCGACCTGTGCAGCGACGAGGCTGTAATCTTCGGCGGAAAGCCCTTCTGCCGAGCCTCGGAGTGACTGCGTTCGACTCAGATTCTAGGACCGAATGGTCGTTTGGAAACAGACACTTAATCTTTAAGTAGTCTCCTGAAAGAGAGAACATGTACCTCATATGTTCCATTTAAAAGATGAACGATCCGAGTCGTTACCTAACATGCGCATATGTAACGAGAGTGTTTTAGTGCTTCTTAGAAACTTAGAAGATTAAACAGTCACTGGCCAAAAACTTGAGCTTTGATTCACATCGACACAATATTGTGCCCGCCAACATCGCCACTGACGTACGTCGGCGGACCCGGCGGTGCAACGTATCTTTCTTTGATCATGCAATGTGCTTTTTCTGCATGATGAATACGTACGAGAGTGACAAAGCGCCGCGGCGGCTTTGAAGTTCGTTCGTGTTCGTTTTGTGCACATTCGTAAAGGTAGGAATCCATTTAGCGCGCCGCCCAAGGGGCATCGCTAATTTGGTGACCATATGTACGTATAAAGAGGCCATTAGCGTTCAGAGACGTCATGCAGCTTGCCAGTTGATTTGTATTGAGCGTTGTGCATGATCATGAGTTCAATGCGCCGTACGGTCGAGTCCATCACTGATATATGTATGGTAGCCGCATATCACCTAGATAGTAATTCTCGCCGCGATACACGTACATGTGATTTCACATGTGGAACTTAGACCAACAAGTTGTTTCCAACAATGATGCTGATAACAAAGCTTAAAGCTACTAGTAAGCTAGGCAGGCTGGATCTCAACTTACGATCCAGTCTATACGCTGAAATTGCATATATGCAGATTTGGGCGGCATATACTGTATAATAGGACATGCGCCGGCTGCGCTCATGTGCAATAACTTAGTAGCCTAGCTAGATAGTCTTCAGACGTGGTCCGACCGTACGAAGCGGGCGGTTCATCTTCAAGGCTTGCCAATTTGCCACCGTCATGCGCGCAGAGCTATGCCGATGAGCTGGTGCGCTCATATAGCCTATACACAACATCCCATTCATTTCGCTATACTAACAGGCTTCCGCAAAGTCATATCCATTCATGTCGATTTGACTCCGAACCTCTTGAAATGTATGCTGATTAGGGAATCATTCCATATGCGTGCACACGCATGCATATGCTCGCTTTGAGGTGAAAGTCTTCAATCAGAGCAGAAACTGATACTAAACTTGGAGCCAGAGGGCGCAGACGCCCAGCCAAAATATGTAGCGTCCAGTAGCGGGCAGCCCGTATGGGCTCCACCGCGGGCGCGTCCACGAAACTTTGCAGACGTCTTATATGGCCTGTTGGCTACCATTTCCACCCATTTTCGGGTCAGCTCACCGGGGAGCCCTCAGTGTCAAGGACGAAGTGAACCTATGTCTGACTTTCCCAGCTAAAATGGAAAATCTGGGCAATAAAAAGGACCGGTGGAATGTCGCCCAAAAATGGCGGAAACTTGTAGAGAACGTTTTGGGACCTAGCCAAGACGTTTTGACCTTGTGGGCGGTTTGGATATGATGATTCCGCCCGCTTACATTTCTGCTCGCGCCAACATTTTGGCTGGCGTCTGCGCCCTCTGCTTGGAGCGTCAAGACAAGGAATCCGTTGAGACTCGGAGCTAGGCAAGCCGCATGTCAGCTTGCGTCCGACCAACATCAAGCTGCACGCCGCCGTTGCATACGAGCCAATTGCAGAGGTACTCTTGACGGGTCATGTGCACATCAGTGCAATGTTTAACTAGATTCAAAGCAACCACCAATAGGCCGCGGGTCCGACCACACCAAGGTCACTCCTATACATTATGAAATGTCTTCCTATATTACGTAGGGCTAAGCTTCTAGTTTGCAGGCCTTAATTACAGTCCAATGGACCGTCGGTACAACCGACGTCCCTAAGTACACTTCTGTGTTTGCAACTTGAGCCGCGCCTCAATCAGCTATCGAAGCCCGTCTCCTGACTCGTTTCAATCTTCCCTTCCTCCTGCTGATCCAAGATCTTGGCAACAATTCGCTCCTCGACTTGCTCTGTGAGCCGTGCAATCGCAGGCGTAGCGCCATACATGCCGATGATGCACAACCCCTGTTTGTACATGTTGCGCTCCCAGTTCAGTACCCAGCGCGAGTACTCCTGCCGCCGAAACAGGTCCGGTTCGACCTGTAAGGGTGACGTATGACTGATATCAGCAACCGAGTCTGGTGGTTGTTGACTTCTTCCATGTTAGATCCCTAAGCAGTGCTAGGCCCTGTCTTTGGTAGGCACGCAGGTGTGCACTGCTCTCCCTTTCAGAAGTGGGTAAACCTGCGCTGTCCACAAGAGCTAACACACTTCGATTCATATGCAGATCGTGGAAACTTCGGTTACGAGACCTTCATCGAGTCCGCAGAGTCTTGCGCTTTGTCGAAGCGGCTGCCCGTTTCCGGAGGTGCACGGCCCTTGTAATACAGGCCGCGCTCCCAATTCGTACCCAGCGATCATAATTCTGCCGCCGAACAACGTTCGCTTCGACCTACCGAAACTCTTTGAGAGCTGAAGAGAAGGTTTCAAGGACTTCACATAATGCAATCGAAAGCTGACCTCCTGCGAAGCCTTGCAGGCAGCATAAAGTACGTCCCTGCCAAGCAGACTTTCTGGAGACCGGTTCTAGCGGGTTTCGAAGATGGTCGGGAACAGGCTCTAACCAAGCGTTCAATCGGACCGTTTGTCGCCGAAGCACCAGACAGGCTTTAGGAGTGATAATCTAGATTTGAGTTGGGTGCCTGTCGTCTGGAACCACAGTCACTTCGAACCACTGAACTTCTATTTTGGCATCCGGTATTCTGACCAGCGACAAGAGAGCCAAGCAGCATGACCTTTCCTTTGTCCTCAACCTTCCTGCCGAAGATAGGTCCTTGTCTGAAGTGTTTTGCCGTGGCAAAAGCGGGGAGGACTATATCGCACACTCTCTCCTCCCCTCTTACTCAATCAAGCGCTTGGTACGGACACCAAGTTTGATTAAGCGAAACGGAGACTCGACTAAAAAGAGCTTCGTAACAGAGTGAAGCCTTTACTGACTCACCGCTTTGACGTGAAACTCCATGAGTTCTGGGTAGCTTTGCATGGCGAACTTCGTTTCCTTGAGATCCGTCCGCCACCGGTGGATCATCCCCCCCACAAACCCAAACGTTGCTCCGCCCTGCAAACGAAAGACGCACATGTTCGTTGATCGGAAGTCTTGAGGTGTCCGTAAGCAGAGTCGTGAACCACTGTCGAATGTGTGGACGCAAGGTCAAAAGCCAGATTTCGAGTTGTAAAGATAGATATTGATCGCATTTCTTTTGAGAGGAAACCTTCTTTAGCTTTCTGAAGGAGATCACGGACGTTTGAGTTGAATGTCTCACTAAAGCTCAATCTCGAAGATTCTATTCTTCGAGCCTAGATTAACTCCGACTGGATCTGAGCCGTGTATTAGCAGGATTTATGGACCGCATATAGTGGTCTGCCAAAAGAAAGTCTGCACATCGAAGTGGGACCGTAGAAACACCCCCTCTAAACATGACTACTGAAGGCCTCTGACGAGGTGCGGCGCTTTTGACTTCCCTAAAAACCTACGAGGACGAAAGGGCATGTATTGGACTACAGCATCATGGTCCTTTTAAGATTCAGGGGATCGACCACACTGACTTGTGTATGTTAAGGGAATCACGGAAAGCGATACGCTCTGTGTTGAAGGCGCAAGTGATACGACCTCTGAAATACTTTATCCTCAGAGAGGTATTGCGACGACCAGTCCTACAGCTGATGTACCGAAGCTGGGCAAGGAAAAACGGTGCTTAAGTGTGGTCTCGGGAGGACGAGCTACTGGGGATGCTCGCCAGAAACGGCAGTCCTGGTCCAAGCAACATCATGCTGACCGCCCCAAAGCAGAAGGAAGCGGCGACAGAAACCTGCATGAGCGCCATTCCATCCATAAGACGGGCCTGATCCAGAAGCTGCTTCAAGGAGATCCACGGATTAAGTGTTGACGAAAGTTGCTTGTTTCAGACACCAGGAAGCTACTCAGGACTTGACGGTAAGCTAAAAGGGTCATCTGCTCTGAAAGTTGAGGAAGCTATGCGCGGATATTGACAGGAAGGCTTTGGACTTGGAAAATCAACTTTCAACACTGAATGGGGCCAAGCGTCCAAGCTTTCTGGCGCGGTTGAGGTGCAATTTCTTTCCAATGAAGCTAGTACATACCTCAAAAGCTTATTGAAATGATCTCAAGTAGAGAACTGTAGAACGACCAGACTCAGGTTTTGATTAGACACATGAGCAGAACTAAAATCGATAGATGCACGAAAAAGGCACCTTCGAATAAGATAGTCTTAGAATTGTCCAATTCGTGCAGATCTAGTGAAGGGTGTGATGCTACCACAAGTAGCTCTGTGGTGAACATCAACGCTGACTGTAGTTTGCGAAGTTTGAAGAACGCAGCAAGTACGTCACGGCCCCTGAAGTTCCTGCTAGACCCTATAGAAAGTGACTCAAGTCCCTCTTCACAACAATCGTTTTCTGCACGTTCGCTAGCTTCACTTTACGCTCCTTCTGCGCACATTCCAGCTGAACGGAAGGTACTTGCTTAAGCCAAGCCAACAGTCGGAGAGAACAGGGCCTTACAGTGATGCTCTTGACCATAAAGAGCCCCTGTCCAGGCGTCAGCGACTTGGAGGCTCCAAGGATGTTGAGCAAGCTGCATAGATCGAATAGACAGCTTAGGATAATGGCGGTTGAAGGTGACATGGCACGTCCGCGGCCGTATGATTGCTGCAAAAGCAACGGAACAGTAAAAGGAACTTCTCTGTGATTATTGAAGTCTGCAAGTGTGGGACGACGGTGGCGCCCAATTTTTCGGTGACCTTGCCTTGACTTGACAAAAGGAGACCTCTTGAGTCCGGAGCATCCGCCAAAATTTGTGCTTAGGCATAACCAACTGCCAGCTCTCTGCCCCATCTCCTTGTCAGGTTGGCGGTGCAATCGCAGAATCCACCTTAATATGCAGTATGTGGGGTTCTCATACAAAGGACATCATGTATGACGTGTTAATTTGCAAGCTCAGAAGAAGGGCCCAAAGGAGCTTCTCAAGGAGGGGGACTTTTTGAAGAGCTGACTTACTTCATGCTGCCCCCAGGGCCCTGACTCTGGTACTCCTGATACAGGCTGGAATTTGCAGCCATTGTGTCCTCTCTAGGCAAGTCAATGCAGGTTTGTACAGAACAGTGCGAAATTAAAATGCTGCAGTGTTCTCAATGTGCCAGCATCGGACCACTGAAAAGTCAGCCTAGAATCCAGCAGAGGCGTGTTGTAGAGACGGCTGCTTGACATTGCATACGCTCTCCCACGCTCCGACCTTACCATATGAATGACCAGAATTGCAGGATGCAGCTTGTAAGTAAACAATGCTGCAGTGTCCTGCAGCATTCAACCTTCCTAAATGAGTCTGCGCAATTCTGCTCGGCTTTCATGGACCTTGTTATGGGACAAGACACTGTGACTCAGGCTGGGCTCTTTGCTGGTTCAGCAGCTCCCCAGCTACCTTCCACTTGTTTGCTTTCAAGAGCACCTCCGCACATTGTAATTTGTGGTTCACAGGGACCTGAACTTCAAGAAGAACTTTCAAAGAGGTGCAGAAGGTGTGTAGATCCGTATTCCTCGAACGGATCGGTGCGATAGCCGAAGCAAATGAGATTGACGGCGTCTCTCACGTCACTCGCTGAGTTGATCAAATGCCCTTTGGCCACCAAGTGCGGGACGAAAATTATACAAGGGTACTTCCGTTGGAACAAACGTCAGGCACATGTGCCGGCCTTCTGGCAAGTCTTATTCCGTGTACTGCGCCGATGAAAATTCCTTCTGCTCAGGTTCTGTACATACCGGTAGTTCTCGTGCTCTCTCCAGCAGAACCCAATTGAAACGTTTGCAAGCATAAGAGGGAGGCGGGCAGAAGCAGCCTTCACGTAGCTGGAAGTACCGGTATTCGTGATCCTACTTAGGAGTACCAGCATATGCAGCTTGCTGAGGGAGTTTCGCTTCGGGTCAAGATTGCTGGCACGGACTACTCCCTGAGGGCGTTAGACGGTCAACTCACACTTTTGAAAGGGACAAACCCTGCACGAATTGTTGTTGGAAGTGTTTCGATTTTAGTGAACCATGGCTTTTGTCATCCAACATATCCCTGCTCCCCTCGCACCCGTAAAGGAAGTAGTCCTCTATCCCTACAAGGCGACATGCTATTCATATCTGAGGCAAACCCCTACGGCCCAGGCGCCCAATCCTGCCAAACCGCTGTCCTGCAACAAAGACCAGGGTAACCTGTTTCTTGAGTTTCACAGTCGGTACACCCATCAGCTCCAAGTTTCCGAGATGGTCAGTATCGCCGTGTCTCTCCAACCATACGCCCTAGCCACCAAATTTTTCCCAGCGGAGGGCTGCGACTGGCCCGAAAAACCTGAGATTGTCGTCACCATCTCTTTAAGCCCAACGCCTATAAACAATGCCGCAAACCATGGCTATTATAATGCACCCGAGAAGCTGCAGTACAGGGGGAGCGTGTCTGACAGGTACAAATTGAATCTTGTGACAAGCAAAGTGCCTACTGGATATCGCATTGAAATGAAGGGGCTTGAGGTGGCAAGCGCCGACCAACACTCATATCCACTGTTTTGCGAAAGCGTTGATGGTTTTGGTTCAGAAACAATGTCGGCCTTCGTGCATCTACGGCACAACGGCAGGTTCAAAGTCTTTTTTGAGCTGCGGTTAGTGGCTGTCAAGCCACATGCCAATTTACTCAAAACAGCGCAGACTTTGGCGGGCAGGCTGATCAGCAGTGCGGAGGAAACGGGCGATGTCATCCTGAGAACTCAGGTGAGTGTGATTATTCTGAGTTGGTGCTGTGATCACGGTGTTGGCTGCCAATCCATGAGCTTCAAGCACTGGTCAGATATGCTTCGCTATCGATGTTTTCAGCAACCTATGACGTTATGAAACGCGTTCTCAGCTGCCTGACGCTCATTAAGCCTTGACACGGTCAATAGTGAGTTGAGCTTTGGCTGTTACTGGAATGCACAACTTGGAAGGGGTCATCGCCTTCCCCCTAGAAACCTCGCGTCTAAGCCTTTCTCGACGCTTGTCTGCAGTAGCTGCCACCTGTGCTCTTGTGTGTCTCTCATCCTGCCAAGCTCAGACACTTTGAGTCGCCATGTCAAACCTCTCCCAAATTCTCAAAGGCTGAGGTCTCATTCCTTGTTCATTTTTGTTGTTTGGTAGGAAGGGGTAAGAGTGTGTACGAAAGAGCAAGGAGCTCTCCAGAGGCCAACCTTCATGTGGAATGCCCCAGTTGGACAACCTTCTGTCATCCCTTGGCATGCAAACCCTCCGTGTTGGAACCTGTTTCTTTTTGTCTCAGGCGTGCAGCTTTACTTACTGATTTGCAAAGGGAGCTGTGTGTACATTCCCGAAAAGATGGAAACACTACAACACTGATTTCTCTTTCCAAATGCATTTGAACCTGCTCTTCTCTCGTTTGCAGGCCGGCACTGAGTTGCCGGCGCACTCGGCCGTTTTATCAGACATCCCCTATTTCAAGGCCCGTTTTGGACCCGATTGGAGGAAGGAGCCCGCGGCAGGAGAGCCTACGGTGTGTTTACTTCCCGTAGAAGCCAGTGAGGAGAGTTTGACCATCTTCCGGTCGTACGTGTATGGCGAGCCGCACACTCTGGGAGCAATCAAATCGCACGAAGTGCTTCAGGTGAAACTCGTCTTTTCATCACCTTTTCACACATTGCGGGTCCTTGACGCTTGCAAGGTTTCAGTGATCTTTTTGCGAATTGCAAAGTGAGGGCTGTAAGTGTTTCATTCTGCACGTTCACTTCCACGAACGCAGATTTGGCAGATTAGCCTTAAATCAAACACTTACTGGGTCCACTGTGGCGGCGTTTCAGTGCTGCTTTCGAAGTTTTCGCTTCTCCCCCGGCTTTGACGGGGTCTAGATTTGAGAGCAATTGCGAAGAGCACCGCTTTCTGGATAACGAAACACCACGTGGCTGTGAGTTGAACCACTTGCTCCTTTCCGGTCCCTCCAAGTAGAACAGGGTAGCTCGCTCACTACGCTTTGGAAATTGACAACTGAAACGTTGCTTGCGCCAGGGCGTCAATCCAGCCCTTCTTTAAGTGCTGATGCTGCAAAAAGTCAAACATGTTCAGCTGAGGCTTGAGCTAGCTTCAGCTTCACGCTTGAGCCTGAGCGTGAAGCTTGTTTCCGTTTTGTAACCTGGCAGGGTGCCGGTTGATTACTCGGCCGGTATCAAATCCAGACTTGTGAAAGGAGTCGTAACACTCCAAGTTGCAAACAGCGTCAGCCAAAATCGAGAAGTTGAGCCAGGGCCCTTTACACTCATATCCGACTACATCCTCTAACCGTGCTTGTACTTTCCTTTAATATAACGTCAGGGTGGGGCTCGCAAACCCTGTTCAAGTTGCTTGGTGTCTTGCTTTGTTGATGCGAGCTTGTTACCGCATCTTCAGGACAATCTAGCTTAGCTACCCAGAAAAGCTGTAATTTCCTACTTTCAGCACCTGAGACGGAGGGTACACTTGGAGTTTGCTCTTCTTCTTTTAGAACTGTGATCCTTTACTTTGAGTATCTGAGACGGAGGGTGCTTGGAGGCATTTTGCTTTCGGAAAAGAACCTTGCAAACTCTGCGTTTTCGGTCGAGCTTACTTGCCAAGCATTGTGAGGCCCGCTGTGCAGGGCGCTTTGGAGTTCCAGTTGATCAGGACCAGCGACTAATCAGCGGATGTCGCTTGCAGGCGCTCTTCTCACTTGGAGAAGCTTGCGACCTCCCAACCCTATGTAAAGAGGTCGCAAGTGTTGTCAAGATTCAAGAAAACGAGGTCTCGGATTGGGTAGATTGGCTGGGAAGGGAACACCTTCCCGAGATACAACCAATCAGGAAACAGGTAACAGCTCTTGTGAAGCAAGCCGTGCTGTCTAAGAAGACCTTCTGGGAGGAGCTGTCAATGGAGGACCTGAGCCACATCTACCACGCTACGAAGCGGCATAAGAAAAGCGACTAATAGCTACCATGGGACACTTTAACTCCTATTAAATTCCCCCCGATACGGCCTCAGTTATGGCAGATTGTGCTACTTGAGTTGACAAGATATGAGTTTGCCAAATGCAGCACATACAATCAGCACCAAGCGGGTCAGCGGCATGCGGTCATTGCGTCCTCAACGATGTTCTCTTCTTCTCTGTCAAAGCGCCGTATAGCGACATGCATGGGGCATATAGGCCCATAGTACCAATGAGCCACATAAACGCGCTTGCTTCCTTCAAGGAAGGCAATCTCCAGTTGGCTTGCTCGCTTGCTCGTTGTTGAACGATTCAGTGCGACTTTGAGGGATCCCTCTGCAGAGTCCAGACCCATATTCGACCAGACCGGACTCGTTGCAGTTGGCCGGCGCTCGCTCTAGATGCTCTCCGAGGGATCCCTCTGCAGACCCATTATTCGACTATAGACGGGACCCGTTAATTCGCATTTGGCGCTCGCTCTAGATGCTCGCTGCTTAGG